CAGCTGGGCAGCAGGGGCAAGACTCCACCCTCACGCCCCATCATGTACAGATGATGCTGCGGGGTGCAGGTGGAGGGTGTGGCCGCCATTGCACTGCAAGGCTGCCTGGGCGATCTGTGGTGAGTGGCCCTGTGGGTGGGCGGAGCAGGGGGCGGAGTGGGGGGCAGAGCAGGGGTGGGCCAGGGGGTGGGCCGGTTTTTGGGCACTCAGTCTCTAAAAGGTTCACCATCACTGAATTATGATAATAATGATAGCCACCCACATGTAGCAACCACTAGCTGTCCATCAGCAGTCCCTTATGAGCTCCTGGATAGATAGTTAGAATTTCCAAGGCTTCAGATCATGGATGACTTCAGTCTCCTTGCTCTGGGTCAGGAATGCCATATAACTTGACTTCTTGCCTCCAATATACATGGGTGGACCCATACTAACCTGGTCTATTCCAATATTCTGGTATTTGAGGAGCTGCCAGAAAGAAGAGATGGTCAACTTATTTTCCAAAGCACCACAGCATAGGGCAGGAAACAGTGAACCAATCAAGGAGAGAAGCAACTGGAATTAAGAGAAACTGCCTAACAGTAAGAACAATTAACTGGTGGAACAGCTTGCCTTCAGAAGTTGTGGGTGCTTCGTCACTGGAGGTTTTTAAGAAGAGACTAGACAGTCACTTGCCTGAAATGGTATAAGGTCTCCTACTTGAGCAGGGGTTGGACTAGAAGTCCTCCAAGGTCCCATCTAGCTCTATTCTCTATTCCCTATATTTTGGAGAAGATGAGACATGATATGAAAATGGGAGACATTGCCATCAGTCACTTTCATAGTCAGATCACACAAAGTGTACATCACAGATCCCTGGATTTTTCTGCATGCTCTTTAGAAGGGTCCATCCCAGACAATTAATTGAGCCGGAGTGATTCCAGAGGGCATTTGGGGATTTCTCTGACAATTTGGCAGGCTGTTTCGTCTCGTGCCTGGCTGATCTTTAGAACTCTATGGAGTCCAGAACTCTGGGATGAGTTTGCTCCTACAAAGCCTCTTTCCAAGTTTCCCACCCAAAGCAGCTTTTTCGATTTCCTGGGTAGCTGAGAGACATGAAGTACCTAAAGGCACTTATAGTAATGGGGGAAAATACAAGAAATGCATGCAACTACATATTGGTAACAACTGATGTTTGGTAATTGTGGCAAAGTATCAGCTCTTCTCCCTACTGACTGTCCTTGCAGATTTCTGCCTAGTAACCCTATATAAAATGTTCTACACCCTTTTAACAAAGGAGCGATGGAACAAATTTCCTGCAATCTTCCCAGATGAATTTGCAATTTTCTTAAAGGATAAAGTTGCTTGTATCCACCCTAGTTGGATACAACTCTGGCCCCACCTAGTTCCTTCAGATAGAATATGAGTGGCTGGATCCAGGAGATGTTCAATACGAGGTTCTCTCTTGAAAAGGTCTTACTTGAATCTGCAGTCTTTGACAACTTCTGCTTCTTCTCCAGCCTTCCTTTTTCAAGAAGGTTGTCCAGAAGATGATAAAATTCAACTACAAAGAATATCTGAGTTGGAGGTGCCATAGAAAGCCAAGACGCATGTGCTTGGAGGAAGTCAGGGACTAGATGTGGCAAAGCAGCTGACATTAAATCCTATCAAATGGAATTGTTATTGCTTTCAAGACTTAAGCCATCCCTGTGAAGTTTAAAAATTCTTATCTGAAGGTAGCCCATGCTTTGATCGCAGTTTATTTGCATCTCTATATTAGTATGTTGTACATGTGTTTGCCTTTAGAAATGACCTGGAAGCTCCAGGTGGTACAGAACGTAATACTTAGTCTGTTGACAGGTCAACCTTGCCACTTTAGAATATTACCAATACGAAAGTCGCTGCATTAGGTATCAGTAGACTTGGATTCAAATCAAGACTGCTGGTGAATAGCTATAAAGCCCTATATGACATAGCACCAGAACACATCAGATATCATCTTACCAGCATTAATTGGCACCTCTGATTGGACATCTAGAAAGGGACTACAGAGAGTCCCTTCTGCATTAGATAAACATGGGATGTAGATCTGATGACAGGAATTCTCTATAATACATGGACATTCTAGAAAATGCCGCTCCTAAACATATGCTTAGCTCTTTCGCTTCTGCATTTCTCAAGATGGTACAGTCTGTTTTACTCCATTGTATTTTAAGCCTTAATTGGCTGTGGGCACCCATCTTCAGTTGTATGTGTTTGTCTGGTTTTAAAAAAAAACTGGTTGTTTTTATATCTGCCTTGCTGTTCACTGCCCTAAGTCACAAGGAATTGTAGCATTCTACAAATATTGCAAAAATTAATATGTTGCTAGGCCACCTCTCCTCTCTTTTATCTTTGGATAAAAATATATTGTGTGTTACTTGCTCTCAATATCTTTGTTTCATCTTTTCTCTATTCAATTTTTCAAATTATTTAAGCAGAAGTAATGTAATAGTAGTAAAGTTGGAAGGGACCTTGGAGGTCATCTAGTCCAACCCCCTGCTCAGGCAGGAAACCCTACACCATTTTGGACAAATGGCTGTCCAGTCTCTTCTTAAAAACTTCCAGTATTGGAGCATTTACTGCTTCTGGAGGCAGGCTGTTCCACTGATTAATTGTTCTCACTGTCAGGAACTTTCTCCTTAGTTCTAGGTTGCTTCTCTCCTTGATTAGTTTCCACCCGTTGCTTCTTGTCCTGCCTTCAGGTGCTTTGGAAAATAGTTTGATTCCCTCTTCTTTATGGCAGCCCCTGAGATATTGGAATACTGCTATCATGTCCCCCCTCGTCCTTCTCTTTGTTAAACTAGACATACCCAATTCTAGCAACCGTTCCTTATATGTTTTATCTTTGTTGCTCTTCTCTGTACTCTTTCTAGAGTCTCAACATCTTTTTTACATCATGGTGACCAAAACTGGATGCAGTATTCCAAGTGTGGCCTTACCAAGGCATTGTAGAGTGGTATTAATACCACTCTACAATGATATTACAAAAGTATTGGCTTTTGCCTGACAAGGCTGAATCTAGTTAATTGGCACATAAGAGTCCAGAAACTTCTGGTAAGTAATTTACTGTAGAAAAACTAGAAATATGTTAAATAGGAACTCCAAGAACTGCACAATACACCAAAAGTGAGCCCTATTTATTGTGAAATGAAAATTCATAGTTTGGTGCTTCTTTCTTCTACCAAGCTACTGTACGCAGTGAGCTAAACAGTCTTCCATGTTAAGAACCCAATTTCTCTCTATTTCTTACTCTAACAAGAGACATGCTATGTTCCTCTAACTGGATAAGAACTAACTCTGACTATTAGATAAATATAAGTAGTGCAAAATCAGAAGATGCGGAGAGACCTGGCCCATAGAATCACCAAGAGTCGGACATGACTGAATGAATAACTTCATCATCATTAGACACACCAATAAACAGGTTATCATTGATTTTTAATAGTTCAGAAAAGGTTTCTGATTCCCAATTTTTTTAGAATAATAGCAACAGACTTATTCTTCTCTAGCCTAAATTGTAGTGGCAAAGGTGTTTGGAATATACAGATAAAAGCATAGATTACTTTGAATACATCTCAAACTTCAATCTTGACAGAACTTTTATAGATCACTTCAAAGATCACTTGCATTTTGCTCAGTGATGGATTTTATGACTCTATTTTTTAAAAAAAGGTGGAAATCTGGTCACATTAATTCTGGTACAATGATATCTGATGTATTAGAATTCCCTTCTAAGGAATTCCAATCCTAATAACTGTAATTATTATTGCAATTATTGTCAAACATTACTGAAAAATTCTGTAGAAATACTTCAACAAGTATAAAGGTCCACTCTATGAATTTGTTGTAAAATGGATACATATTGCAGTTTCATTTTTATATGGCATTGAATGAATACTTTGATTCCATAAATAATAATAGATGCATATGAGTATTAAGTATGTCTATGAATATTAAAAACAAAAATAAAGGAGGCTATGGGAATACTGTATAGGTCTGTTATCTCCTTAGGTAAACAAAAATGCCTACTTAACAAAAGCTGTACCTAGAAATTATATTGTTGGGTATAGTATGAGACCAATACCGAAGTTTGGGAGAACTCAATTTTTATTTAAAATAGGATTTACTGCAAATACTGACTCCTTATAGCAGAGGAGTTTCTCTGTAAGGATATGCTGGATTATCTCAGAGGTCAGAGTAGCCTTAAAAGATTTTCCCAGTGTTGCTCATCTTAGCAGTTCTTGGGATTTATCCAGCTGCTCTATTGTTTTGTAACTTTTAGCACAATCTTTAAATACAAACAAGACCTTCTCCACTTATCTACATAGCTGCCTGGAGCTTTCCTATGGGTTCTTCCTTCAGTTTTCCAGCTGTTCCCATTTCTGTATTCCTTTGCTTGCAACTTCATGACCTCAATCTTGCCCAATCTTGGTAAATGTTCTCATTCCTTCTTCATTCATGCCTCAGGGGGGGCTTAATAAAATTAGAATTTATGATAATAATGCTCAATATATTTGTTTAGAATAAACCAGATAGCAACCCAAACACTATTCACTATTGTATGGATGAATCACAAGGTCAGTTTACATCCCTAGAGATGTAGAATATTTTTTCCTTAAATAAATGAAGAGACTATTTATTCTTTATTTAATAAATAAATGAAGAGAAACGTTAGGCCGCAAGTGGGTTGTTTGAACTAAATATTTTAGCCCAGTGTTTCTCAACTTTGACAATTTTAAGGCATGTGGACTTCAACTCCCAGAATTCCACAGCCAGCATTGCTGGCTATGGAATTCTGGGAGTTGAAGTCCACATGCCTTAAAATTGTCAAGGTTGGGAAACACTATTTTAGCCGCTAACTGAATTTTTCAGTGATGGTGATGGTGGTATTGATTGTACGGTGTAAAATCTTCCACAGGCTTCTGCTCTTCAATGTGCCTTATAAATACTTCAGTAAAATAGATTGACTTCACACCATCTGGCTCCTCAGAAGAGAATTTGTTTTTATATATAAAAACAGGGAAACCAAAGGGGAACAACCAAAGGGATGCGTCCTTTCATCTAGACTCGAATCGAAGAAATGGGTAGCTGGTTTTCACGCGATCCCTTGGCAGGCTTCTAAAGATTCCCCTCCCATCTTTTCACAGAAGCTGCTTATTCCCGTAGAAGTCAAGATCGAAATAGATCATCCTTCCGTGCGTCGGCCTTCTCTCCTGGCTGGGTCTCTTAATAACGGCGAGGGGTGAGGAGGCTGTAAGGAGAGGGGCAAGCGGCCTTCTCCCCTCTCTGTCCGCCTGACAGGCTCGCCTCAGGTGGAGGGGCGGGAAGCCGAAGCCCGAATACTCTTCAATGAACGGCTGAAAGCCCCTACCCCCCCCCCTCCGCCCCGACGTCGCTGGCGGCGGGAACAGCCAGTTTCTATAGCGACGGCACTGATCCTGGCTGCTCTCCTCCCGATAGTAACAAAACCAGGGAGCCCCGCCGCTCTGCCCGACATTCGCCGTGGCTGCTGCGGCAGAGCCGGGCGAGCGAGCCAGGAGGAACGCGCCGTCTCCAGCAGAAACCCCCGCCAAGCAAGCACGCAAGCAAGCCAGGTAGGGCACGAGGCGCGCCGGGCTGCGCCTTCGCTCGCATCCCGTTCGCTCGCCTCTCCAGCTACGCTACCGGGTTGCAGGGAGAGAAACGGGGCTTGGAGGAGGAGGAGGAGAAGGCTCTCCTTCCGAGCTCAGCGGGTTCCGGCAGCCTCCGGGCTTCTCTCTTCGGGCCGCTGAGGGTGGGTTGGGGAGGGAGGGAGGACGCGCCAGCCAGGTCTCCGAGTCGGCTGACCTGCGGCGCAATTCAGCGGAGCGAAGTGGCGTGAAGTGAGGCGAAAGCAGATAAAGAAACCGCAGCCTTAGAAGAAGTGAGGAAAGTTTGGCTGCTCCTGTTCAGGCTCAGCAGCTGCCAAAAGTGCGCAGGTCTGCAGGGGTCCGTGTGTGGGGGGGGGGATTTGATGGACCCACTGATGAAGTTCCCCTCGCTTTTCATGGATGGAAGCGGGTCGAAATCATAGCAGTAGTTTTGATTGGTTGTCCTGGTCTGAAACCAGATTCATTGCAATCTGCCAGACTGCCACCGAACGTATACACAAGAGAATGGAAGCCCTTTTGATTTCGGGGGAGCCACTTTTTCCCTAAGTCGCCCCCCTACCCATTGCAATGGAGCTGCTGTTAGGATGCAGTATTGTAAGCTAACTCGCTGCTCACTCCAGGAGTTCGATTCTCACTGGCTCAAGGCTGACTCAGCCTTCCAGCCTTTCGAGGTGGGTAAAATGAGGACCCAGATTGTTGGCGATAGGCTGACTCTGTAAACCGCTTAGAGAGGGCTGTGAAGCGGTATATAAGTCTAACCTTGTACTTCGCTGCTTGCTTGGTGAAGGTCATTTTCTAGCTTGATGGGGGAACAGGCTTATTTACTTAACGAGTATAAAGATAACTTTACAAGGATCTGATGTTTGTATTTGTTCCATTTGCTCTCCCTGGATCATACAGGTAATAGGCACAGTGTTTCTTGGTTCTCTTGAATACATGTTTAATGTCTGTATTTTAAAATTTGTGCTGTAAATGTTAGTGTTTTGCTGTAAAGGAATAGCGTAGATCCTCTTTTGAACATCTGCCTAATGGTTTGATCATATGAATGGTATATTGTGTTTAATAATGGATTATAATTGAAAAACAGTTCAAACAGTTCTTCTGATGGGTCCTCAAATTATCTTGAATTTTTAATGTGAAACATTCTGTTATATTTACATTTAATTATTATTCTAAGAGCACACTTTTCTTTAATATCATTTAATATGCTGACAAACTAAGATGGAAGCCCTTTGCTACTTGAAAATAAAATTTTCAAGTGACAAAGACAATAACAAAGAAGTAATTTATAAGCTTGTACATGCTTGCAATACAAATACTTTTAATTGCATTTAACAAAACTGTTAATGTTAAGTGTTAGCTTTGCTACTGTTTATTCCTACGAACAAGTAGTGTTTATGGAAACCAAATATTGTAACAATTATTCCTTCTCTGGATCAGATCTTTTTAATTTATGAGGTACTTCATTATTATTTATAAAAGGAAAAGAATGTTCTGACTCCAAATAATTGTATGAAAATTTTCAAGAATAGCAGATGTAAAAAAGAAGAGAGGGTAATGAATCGAAAGGATTACAAATTACAAGGATCAATATAAGAATCAGAGTTTTTAAAAGAAGCAGTTTAATCAGATTTAAGCATGCTAACAGTTTTCTAGCAGAATTTATATCTAATAATAATTATAGGTAATTTTTTTAGGTATTCAGTTATTTCTAGTACAGTACAAAGGTGCTGTTACAGATAAACATTTAATCTGCCATGTTTCTGTTTATTACAACTCCTAAATCCAGCATTCTTTAGCAAGGTAGCATAGGAATGAAAAAAATAAATGATAGATAGACAGACAGGCAGATAGATGATACAGGAGAGAGACAGAGACAGAGATAAATCAGAAGTAAGGGCTGCTGTGTTCAGTAGAATTGCTTCAGCCCAAGACATTATGAGGATTTCGGAGATCATTCCTAGATCAATGGTACTCTTGTGATCACATGTCACAGTCTCTGTTAGATGGAAGAACTGATTAACTTCCAGCTTTGCTTGATACAAAATACAGGTAGTCATAACAGCAGTTCGCTTAGCAGTTCAAAGTTACAATGGTGCTGAAATAATTGACTTATGACCATTTTTCACACTTATGACTGTTGCAGCATGCCTGTGGTCATGTGATTTACATTTGGATGCTTTACAACTGACTCACATTTATGACAGTTGCAGCGTCCCGGTGTCATGTGATCACCTTTTGTGAACTTCTGACAAGCAAAGTCAAAGGGGAAACCAGATTTCGCTTAAAAACTGTGTTACTAATTTAACAACTGCAGTGATTCACTTAACAAATGTGGCAAGAAAAGTCATAAAATGAGGCAAAACTCGCCTAACAAATTTCTCACTTAACAACATAAATTTTGGGCTCAATTGTGATTGTAAGTCGAGGACTACTTGTATGTACCAATGCAGTATCACAAATAAAGTGCTAAAACTTTGAAACAGGCAGTTTTCCACCATGCTATATTTCAAGTCCTGGTTCCTATCTTTCCCTTTTTTTTTTGTGGCTAAGCCATCCAATGTTACACTATTTTTGCACAAGTTTAAAAAAAGGTAAGTGGGAAATGTCATGGCATCTTATTTTCATGTAATTTTTTTTATTATAATTGCTGGGAAAGAAAGCATAATGTGAATGAGTGAAGGTGCAGTGATAGGTTGATTCCAGTTTTTTAATTATCTTGTCAGCTGGAGATAATGCTTGTTGGAACATTCAGAATTCCGTGCATTTCTAAGAAGACAATGGTGATTATGACATTAATCATTCATAAATTGATTTTAAGAGTTTGAAAAGAATAATTCTATGGAAATGGTCTTTTGCTTCAATGACTGTCAAGTTCAAGTAGGTGTATGTGACTAGAGGCTGTTTCTATTGTAAAGAATTTGTATCAGATATAAAAATAAATTTAATATTGCAATATATTTTCATTAAATTTATAGTAAATGAATGCTGAAATATTGAGAACATTGAATTCCAAAATACTTACAATAAATGTTGAAATAGTGAAAAAAAGTAGAATAAAACACTCTTGACAGGACTGGATTTGTGCAATGGCATATGCACAATATCGAACAATATTTTTCGTTCACTGTTTCTCTTTGTTGAAAGGGCTACTGTATTTCCTTCTGTTTGCTTATATAATAATGTGGTACCTTTTTGTCTGCAAAACTGACAGAAACCTATGTTAGTAGACTAGTACAAAAGTGTATGATTAGGATTTTTAAGAGGTGACATATCAGTATAAAGAAGCCATGGATTTTACAGTGTGTATGGCCCACGTAAGGAAAGCAAGAAAAGTTAGAACACATTTAACTTTAAAACCCAAAAGAAAATTTTCACCTTTCCTAAAACATTAATAATCAAGCTTTAATAATACCCAGACGTGTATTGATAATTATGTTATACTCTGCATTTTATTTTAATTTAATGCCACACATGTAAAACTATGTGTAATAAAAGTGAACAGTCCAAGCATGTACATACTCATATGGCAGTGCATAATTGCTATCTTTGCCCTATGGGAACCTCGATTGCTTAAGATGTACTTTTCTTGTGTGGAGAGGCAAGGAAGGGAGTACACTGTGATCTCTTTGAAGGCATAAGCAAAAGAGTCAGCGTATTTAGTATCTTTTGAAAGGCCAGTCTGTATCCTCTTGATCGAATTATACAGACCATGAGGATGAAGCAAAGGAAGCACAGAAGTCAGGAAGCAAAATATAGTATGAGACAGTTGGCAGAAATAAAATATATTTTACATGCACACTCTTGAAGACTTGGGTCCCTGCCAAGAGCAACTTCAAGCACATGTAACCACTTGCCAGTGACCCCTGGAGTCTGTGATTTTACTGTTGCTATGGAACTCTAATGGGACCTAGTTCTAAGCTTTGCAGAAAAAATCTCCTGTGGCCCTCACAGAGATTCTGAAGTGTATCTGCTTCTGCCTGTTTGTTTAGTTAATGATGCAGTGTTTACACCTGCATCTTAAGGTGCTTTCCCCAATTAAGTGTTTCCTGACTTGACAAGAAGTCAAGTTCTTTCCTCAAATGTTGCTATCTTAAAATATTCAGCTATTTGGATTGTTCACTTGTTCCTTGCTAAACACCAGTGGCATGTCCTATTTTGATAACAGGCCCCCTATTTCAGAACATCACAGAGAAAGGCGGGGGGAGGGGGGCTGTTTGCAGAAAATTATACCTTCTCGTTCTTTACGTAATGTCATCAAAGTGTGCTATTTATAGCCTGTGCATATGAACATGGAGGTAAAGTGGACTCTTCTGTGTGTATTCCCTTTTGCAAAGTGATCAGTGTGTTTTGTTTCTACTCTGGCAGTGAGAGTTACAAGAGGGACGTGTACAGCTAGACCTCGACTTGCGACAGTTCATTTAGTGACCGTTGCTGTGTCCCAAGGTCATGTGATCCCCTTTTGCAACCTTCTGACAAGCAAAGGTAATGGGGAGGCCAGATTCACTTAACAACCAGGTTATTAACTTATCAGCTGCAATGATTCACTTAACAACTGTGACAAAAAAGGTCGTCAAATGGGACAAAACTCACTTAACAAATGTCTCACTTAACAACAAAAATTTTGGGCTTAATTATGGCCGTAAGTCGAAGACTATCTGTATAATGCCAGAATTGGGATTGGCAGGAGTAACAGGGAATCAACACACCGATATCTCTCAGCAACCCGTCCCATTGCTATATAAAATAAAGTAGAGCAAAGAACAAGAATGAGAGTGAGAAAACAAAGAACAGCAAGTGAGGGAGAAAAGAATAGGAAGAGAGAATGTGCAAGATGGGATAATAAGAAAAAGGGATAATTGGTGGATCACCTACAGAGTAGATGAGGGCTCACCTACAGAGAAGATGTCTCAATTACCGTATGGTTCAGGTTTGAAAAGTGAGTGAGGGTCTTTCTGGAAAAGCAGAAAAGGTGAAAAATTCACCTATCCTCTTTGCAGGTGATATTGACTAAGCCTATGGGTCTAGTGATCTATCAAGCCTCATCTTTCCCATCCTCATTCCAAACCTGTGGTTAGAAAGAACATCTGCTTGATCTTGTTTACAACCAGCAGAAAATTCACCCATTGTTTTTCTTAACTTGTCTCACATGAATATTATAAGGGCAGCCCCACTTGTTGGTCTTTTTCTAAGGGAGATTAGAGCATGCCTGACAGGATAGAACAAATTATAGAAGCAGACTGGCAGGTGTTTGAGCCCTAAGACTATGTATTTAATTGCTCTCCTACAAATGTTATACAAAGAGTAATGAAGATTTTTCCATACATGGTATTTAGCTGAGAAAACATCAGTGCTACCCTGCTGTTTTTTAGAGCTTTTGCAGATCAGGGCAGCAAAAATCCAGATGAGTCGGATGATGAAAGAGATACAAAAAAACTCTTAACTGTTTAATGCCATCCAGCAATAACTTGGGTTTCTGGAGCCCAAATAAGGTATCTTTACTGTTTTCCCATAATGTCCTCCTACTTGAGCAGCCAAACCAATTTTCTTCTTTTGGTTTGGCTTTGGTAGAATTTAATACAAAATTTGTGTTTTGCAATTTAAAGTTCTAGAACTACATGCCATCCTTACAGTTTTAGATGGAGTTTATATCTAGAAGAATGACATCTTGACAAGTAGACATTATCTCCCTCAGACCATCACCTGTTTGCAGAATGGCCAGAGAAAACACACATAGTGCATAGTGAAAACTTTGCCTCCCTTCTCTATGTAGATAGGATGACGGGATTTTTCTTACTGTAGGAACTTTCATAGCTTACGGGGGTGAGACATCAACTGGATTTTTGTGTTTTCCTATTGGTTGGCTGGAGAAAGCACTGTTTCTTGCCAAGTCTCAGAAATTTAAGGTTGACAGAAATAAAGATAATCATACAGCCAGCTTCAACCTACTTTACAGAGACTGGGGAATGAAAATTGCACCACATGAATGCCCAGAGAATGAAGTTTAGATCCTGTAAAGATGGATAAAGCTCTGTGGGAAAATCCATTTCAAGTTGCAAAGATCTCTTTGAATGGAATGACTGAAGCAAGTATGTGAAATGTCCTTGCAATACAGGGGATTTGCAGCAATATCTGCAAAAGGGATACATTTATGATAGGCACTCTGTATGGGACCTACAAAATTGTAAGCAAAGGTTAGATAACAAAAAGTTATGGAAAGTTTAGCTCTTTGCCCCCATCTAGTGGTTGTAATGATTTTTGTTACCTTTTGTCCTTTCAAACACTTGCCGTAAGGTAGTCTTTGACTTATAATGCCCAGTTAGGGTAAGTCGTGACAGTTGTAAAGTGGGTCATCATGTGACCCAACCAATTTTAGAGCCCTTTTTGCAGTGGCTGTTAAGAGAAGCTCCATGATCATTAAGTGAATCCATTGTTTGTTACGCATCTTTGCCAGAAACCAAAAGTAAATGCTGGTTTTCAGCAGAAACATTGTAAGTCACGATCACGGGATTCTGCAAACAGCCATTAATGTGGGCCAGTTGCCAAGTGCCTGAGACAATAATGGGAGGGAATCCAGCCATCAAAACTTTGGAACTGGTTCATAAGTACTTTTTGGGAGGGGGGTGGTGTCCATTGTAATTTTGAATAGTTGCTAAGTGACTGGTTATAAGTCAAGGGTGCCCTGTAATCTGTTCTTTTGCTTGAGGCCTCAAGTATGGGGTAGATATTTGGGGTATGCTTAAGTAATTAGTTGTTAGTTAAGAAAGCTGATATTTCTCACAAAATGGTTTGATAACCTGCTCTTTTACTGTATCATTCAAAGCAACAGATTGGCAGGTAGAAGTCGAAGCAGCACATTATAGAAGCAAAAAGCCATTTTGCAAGATTCTTTGGGAAAAGTTTTATAGTACAATAGTACTCACCATATCTGCAGGTTTATATGAACTATACAATGTTATTTACTTATTTTTTGTAGGTGTAGGCTAAACTCTGAAATCTTCCTTTGAGAGCACCACCATCATTTTTCAACACCTATTTAAAATGGTATAAAAATTTTAAATTAATTTAAAGTGGCAAAGCTTTCCCCATCATTGTAATTTCATGTCAAGAAAATGAGGAATGTTAAATTTACACAAGCGCAGAATTTAAGAGAGAATTTTTACAAAATGTTTTATAGATGGCACCTTGATCCACAAAAAATGTCTATTATGTACCCTGATCTACAGCCTAAATGTTGGAGATGTGGTTTGGACGCTACTTATTACCATATTTGGTGGTCGTGTAAAAATATAAAAGCTTTTTGGATTAAGATATGGTGGAATATTCAAAGAATCTTTAGAAGGAGGGTTAAATTTACCCCACAATTATTTTTATTAGGTATTGTTACTGATTGTGATGCTAAGGAAGTTATATTGATGTTAAATTTGATTACAGCCGCAAGGCTGTTAGTAGGACAATATTGGAAGAAGGAATCTTTGCCTACTTTACAAGAGTGGTTTTATAAAGTTTCTTACTTGGCGGAAATGGCAAAGATTTCGGCTTTCTTAAAGGAGCAATCTCAAGAGAAATTTTTTGTTATATGGGAAAAATGGATAAATTTTATACAATATAATTTGGATATGGAAAAATATCATTTAGCTTTTTCATAGTTTGTATAGATTGTTTTCTCTTTTCTTTTTCCGTCTTTTGTTTTCTTTCTTCTTTTCTTTTTTCTTTTATTTTTTATCTTTCTTTCTTCTTCTTTTTCTTTCTCTCTCTCTTTCCTCTCTTTTTTATTTCTACTTCTTTAAGTACTTCTTTTTTTAATGTTCATGTTATGTATATTTTATTATTAATTATTTTATAAGTTGTAAAAGGTTTTTTAAAATTTTAAATAAGCCTATATTCAGTTCTGGGAAGTTTGGGGAGGGGGGAGGGGGGTGGGTTTGGGAGGGATTGGGTGAGGGTTGATTTGTAAAACTTTTAAAAAATTTTCAATAATAAAAAAAGAAAATCTAATTTAAATTTTCAAAAGTGTTTAAAACAGGACCCTTGCCAAAACTAATTATTTATAAGGTATTCTTGAGGATTTATTGAATTGTAATATATTATGTTTTCTCAGTGTATGCATGATTGTTTTGTAAAGCAAGCCTAAATTTAAAGCCAAATTGCCTATATATAGTCTAAATATTATTTGCGTATTCTGCATACTCATGAACGAAGTAGTTCGTGAGTATACGCAAATAGAATTTAGACTATATATAGGCAGTTTGGCTATAAATTTAGGCTTGCTTTACAAACCAATCACATTAAAAAGGTTATTGTGCCTGGATGAGTGTGAATCACTGAAGTACTATTATTAAAAAGCTACTAGAAAAGGACTGCAGATTTACTAGATATTTCATCTAGTGTTTAAAATTGTTACTCATGCATTTTGTTTCAGAAAATAAACTATTATGGGTTCTGATGTAGACTTTTATATATGCATCATTATAAAAAGTATTTAGGAAGAAGAAATGAAATAAAAGGAGAGTGTAGTATTTCACAGATAAACCAGTTTAATACAAAATATATGCATTTGGGAGAAATGCAGTTTCAGAATAAAATTTGCACAGATATCTAACAGTGTATTTAATGTTCAGTTATTTTTACTTTTATAATGTCATACAATTTCACATAATGTGGTATGCCGGTACATCATAATATATGTGCATATACATATAGTCAAAAGAAAGTACATTTATTTTCATAAAATAAAGATCAAAAGTAGAAAAATTGTTCAATAGTATTTTCACCATCTTCTTTTCCTCCCTACATTGCTCACGTCAGTGCTGAATTAATTAGCAAGAAGAGAATTAATATTTGAATGTATATTCATGGGAGAGAAAGGGATTACAAGAGAGTAAGCAGGTACCTATTGAAGCCATTTAGAAAGCAAAACAAAGCCTTCAGTGTGAAACTGATTAGGGTCTTGTGAACTTTAGATATGCAACACAGTCCAGGTTGCTAATCAACTAAGGAGACAGACCTGAGCTTGTTAACTTGTGGTTAACATTTTTTAGGGACTTGCTATCCTTCAGAGAAAAACAGCTCAGGAAGAGATAGATGGTTTGGGCAATCTCTCCATTTTGTGAGTGGGAAAAGAAGAGTTGGAAAAATGTGTCAGACACAGGACAAACCATACTAATTGACTGTAATGGTGAACAGATGACTGAGAGAGAGACATTGAGAAGGTTGTATATGTAGGAATTTGTCACAAGATTATTTTTTCAACACTGTTGTAACTGCAAACTATTATTGTCTGAGGCAGTCACTAAGCAAGGACTACCTATACATCCAAAGCTCTTGAAAGAGTGTGCAATTGCCATCAGAGAATGTTTATTTGAGAAATCATGGTGGATAGGCTTAGTGATAGAGAAAGGAAAGATTGCAAATTTATTCTTTTCTTCAAAAATAGGGGGGGGGGAGACCAACTAACTATGGTCTAGTTAGTTTTCAGACTGTCT